TGGGAACACCTGTTTAAGGACCATGTGTAACAGATTGGGAACACCTGCTAAGGACCATATATGTAGGAGATTGGTAACATCTTTTTAAAAACCATGTTAAGGAGATTGGGAACACCTGTTTAGGATATCATGTGTAAGAAATTGGGAACACGTATTTAAAGACCATCTGTATCAGATTGGGGACACCTCTTTAAATACCATAAGAATAATACCTAATGTAGGAGAATGGGAACGCCTGTTTAAAAACCACATGAAGGAGGTTTGGAACAACTGTTCAAAGATCACGCGTTGGAGATTGGGAACACTTGTGTACGAGATTGGAGACGCTTGTTTTAAAGGCCACGTGTATGTGATAAGGAACACTTGATTAAAAGATCACATGTGGGAGATTAGAACACCTGTTTAAAAGCAACGTGTAAGAGATTGGGAACACCTGCTTGAAGCCAATGAGTAGATGACTGGGGAAACCTAATTAAAGGCGATGCGTTGGAGATTGGAAACACCTGCTCTAAGATCAGGTATTTTCAAGATCACATGAGAATTTGAACACCTGGTTAAAAACGATGTGAAGGATATTTTGGTTACCTGTTAAAGTATCACGTGTATGAGGTTGGGAACACCTGTATAAATACCATGTGTAGGAGATAGGGAACACCTCTTTAAATACCACACCACGTGTTGTAGATTGGAAACACCTGTTTAAATACCATGTGTAGTAGATTGGGAACACCTGTTAAAGGATCACATGTATGAGGTTAGGAACAGCTGTTTACAAACCATGCGTAGGAGATTGGGAATACCTATTTAAATACCACGTGTAGGAGATTGGGATCACCTGTTAAAATACCATGTGTAGGAGATTGGGAACACCTCTTTAAAGATCAAGTGTAGGAGATTGGTAACACCTGTTTAAAGTTCATGCGAAGGAGATTGGGAACACCTGTTAAAGGTTCACATGTGTGAGGTTAGGAACAGCTGTTTACAAACCATGCGTAGGAGATTGGGAATGCCTGTTTAAATACCACATGTAAGAGATTGCTAACACCTGTTCAAATACCACGTGTAGGAGATTGGGATCACCTGTTAAAATACCATGTGTAGGAGGTTGCTAACACCTGTTTAAAGATCACGCGTAGTAGATTGGGAACACCTGTTTAAAGATCACGTGTAGGAGACAGGGAACACCTCTTTAAAGATCAAGTGTAGGAGATTGGGAACACCTGTTTAAAGTTCATGCGAAGGAGATTGGGAACACCTGTTTAAAGATCATGTGTAGGAGATTGGGAACACCTGTTTAAAGATCATGTATAGGAGATAGGGAACACCTGTTTAAAGATCAAGCGTAGGAGATTGGGAACACCTGTTTAAAGATCATGCATAGGAGATTGGGAACACCTGTTTAAAGATCATGTGTAGGAGATAGGGAACACCTCTTTAAATACCACGTGTAGGACATTGGGAACACCTGTTTAAAGATCACGCGTAGTAGATTGGGAACACCTGTTTAAAGATCACATGTAGGAGACTGGGAACACCTCTTTAAATAACACGCGTAGGAGATTAGTATCACCTGTTTGAAGATCACGTATAGGAGATTGGAAACACCTCTTTAAATGCCAGATGTAGGAGATTGGGAACAACTGTTAAAGGATCACATGTAGGAGATTGGGAACACCTCTTTAAATACCACGTGTAGGAGATTTGGAACATCTCATTAAATACCACGTCTAGGAGATTGAGAACACCTCTTTAAATATCACATGTAGGAGATTGGGAACACCTCTTTAAATACCATGTGTAGGAGATTGGGATCACCTCTTTTAATACCAAGTATAGGAGATTTGGAACACCTGTTAAAATACCAGGTGTAGGATATTGAGAACACCTTTAAATACCACATGTAGGAGATTGGGAACATCTCTTAAAATAACACGTGTAGGAGATTGGGAACACCTCTTTAAATATTACGTGTAGGAGATTGGGAACATCTCTTTAAATACCACGTGTAGGAGAATGGGAACACCTATTTGAAAATCACATGTAGGAGATTTGGAACACCTGCTTAAAGATCACATGTAGGATATTGGAAACATTTCTTTAAATACCACGTGTAGGAGATAGGAAACACCTCTTTAAATACCACGTGTAGGAGATTGGGAACACCTGTTTAAATACCAGGTGTAGGAGATTGGGAACAACTGTTTAAGGATCACGTGTGTGAGATTAGGAACAACTGTTTAAAGATCATGTATAGGAGACTGGGAACACCTGTTCAAATACCATGTGTAGGACCAGGAGATTTGGAACGACTCTTTAAATACCACGTGTAGGAGATTGGGAACACCTCTTTAAATACCACGTGTAGGAGATAGGAAACACCTCTTTAAATACCACGTGTAGGAGATTGGGAACACCTATTTGAAGATCACATGTAGGATATTGGGAACACCTCTTTAAATACCACGTTTAGGAGTTGGGGATCACCTCTTTTAATACCAAGTATAGGAGATTGGGAACACCTGTTTAAATACCAGGTGTAGGAGATTGGGAACAACTGTTTAAGGATCACGTGTGTGAGATTAGGAACAACTGTTTAAAGATCACGTATAGGAGACTGGGAACACCTGTTCAAATACCATGTGTAGGACCAGGAGATTTGGAACGACTCTTTAAATACCACGTGTAGGAGATTGGGAACACCTATTTGAAGATCACATGTAGGATATTGGGAACACCTCTTTAAATACCACGTTTAGGAGTTGGGGATCACCTCTTTTAATACCAAGTATAGGAGATTGGGAACACCTGTTAAAATACCAGGTGTAGGATATTGGGAACACCTCTTTTAATACCAAGTATAGGAGATTTGGAACACCTGTTTAAAGACCACGTATAGGAGACTGGGAACACCTCTTTAAATACCATGTGTAGGAGATTGGGAACACCTCTTAAAATACCACGTATAGGAGATTGGAAACATCTCATTAAATACCAGGTGTAGGGGATTGGGAACACCTCTTTAAATACCACGTGTAGGAGATAGGAAACACTTATTTGAAGATCACTTGTAGGAGTTTAGGAACACCTCATAAAATACCACGTGTAGGAGATAGGAAACACCTATTTGAAGACGTCATGTAGGAGATAGGAAGCACCTCTTTAAATACCACGTGGAGGAGATAGGGAACACTTATTTGAAGATCACTTGTAGGAGATGGGGAACACCTATTCGAAGACGTCATTTAGGAGATAGGGAACACCTCTTTAAATACCACCTGTAGGAGATTGGGAACACCTATTTGAAGATCACATGTAGGATATTGGGAACACCTCTCTAAATACCACGTATTTGAGAAAGGAAACACCTATTTGAAGACGTCATATATATAGGATATAGGAAACACCTATTTGAAGACGTCATGTAGGAGATAGGAAGCACCTCTTTAAATGCCACGTGTAGGAGATAGGGAACACTTATTTGAAGATAACTTGTAGGAGATGGGGAACACCTCTCTAAATACCACGTGTAGGAGATAGGAAGCACCTATTTGAAGACGTCATTTAGGAGATAGGGAACACCTCTTTAAATACCACGTGTAGGAGAAAGGGAACACCTATTTAAGACGTCATGTAGGAGATGGGGAACACCTCTTTAAATACCACGTGTAGGAGATGGGGAACAACTTTTTAAATACCACTTATAGGAGATCGGGAACACCTGCTTAAATACTACGTGTAGGAGATAGGAAACACCTAATTAAATACCACGTGTAGGAGATAGGAAACACCTAATTAAATACTACGTGTAGGAGATAGGAAACACCTAATTAAATACCACGTGTAGGAGATTGGGAACACCTGGTTAAAGATCACATGTAGGATATTGGGAACACCTCTCTAAATACCACGTGTAGGAGAAAGGAAACACCTATTTGAAGACGTCATGTATGAGATTGGGAACACCTCTTTAAATACCACGTGTAGGAGATAGGGAACACCTCTCCAAATACCACGTGTAGGAGATAGGAAACACATTTAAGACGTCATGTAGGAGATGGGGAACACCTCTTCAAAATACCACGTGTAGGAGATAGGAAACATGTATTTTTAAAGACTACATAGAGGATATTTAGACAACCTGTCTAGATACCGTATTTGAACTGAGAACACAGCAATGAAAGGCCAGCTAATGGGGGATCTCGTCTTTTCTTTTATATACATGTTTACTCTTTTGCTGTATCTCTTCAATGTGAATGATTGATAGAACTTTTAGGGGTATCACATTGCTGTTTGCCTTTCCTAATGAATTTGAGAAAAAAGGTTGTCGTTGAAAGATGACATTTTCAAAAGACTTCGGGCTATGTTGGATCATGGTCGTCATTTATAAATACAAATTGACTCATTTAAATCTTTTTAATTTGCACTTCAAACAAAACCTGTTTTTAAAGACCCCTTTCGGAAGAGGGGGTGGTTTTCCAATGCAAGTTGTATTGTACAACCTATCGTGTAGATCGGAGATGATAAAACGCCGTTGACCCCAATGCAAATATGTCACGACTCCTATGCTTAGCACTATTTGTTGTTGGTTTCTATTGTGGGATGTCATGCTTGGTTAAACAAGCTCGATAGCGAACGGTTACCAGATAAAGTTTACATTGACATGGTATACACACATCTATTATAAGTATGTTTAATAATGTAGTGCAATTTATGTATGTGTGTGTACCGTCATGTGCATGCATAACCACTTTCAGAGCTGTGAAACACAGAAATTGTCAATACAGAGGGACCCACTATTCCTGTGTAAATTTGAAATAGCATTGGATCTATACCATTTAACAGTAGATTTGTTTTGTTCTGCAGAATAGCTGCTTAAAGGGAAAATACTTGAATATTAAATTGGTGTATAAAAGAAATAATAGGTTAATTCTGGGTGTTTAAAAGTCCAAAGCCATTATGTGGGGCGCAAGTTTGAATTGAATAAGCTTGTGTGACGCGTTATGTTCAGAGTTCTGCTATGACAATGAATAGAACACAGCATATATTTTTATGATTGGGACTTATACACAGGCCAAACGAACCAATGCTGTTGAGTTGTAATTCCTTGTGTACTGGCTCGTTGGCACTGTAAATAGTTTACCTCCATTGTCCATGGTGTGACTGGACGAGTACCGATTCATATCGCTTTCAGAAAACGTTTGAAAGTGAATCACTTTAAAGTTTTTTTAACATCTTCCTATAATTTGTTTGCTGTGCTCAACTTCATTTGAAACTGAACCTTTGATCGCATAAAGTGACAACAGTGACTGCATTTGGGTGTTTAAAACCTTTTTTTTGACGCAGGGATTTGTAACTCGAAGAGAACTGCGCTGTACTGATATATAATGACACTTTGAGGTAAGTAATATCTATAAATATTTTGCATGTAAACAATGTCTACAAGCAGGGTTTCCACTGTTAGTTATTTCTTTATTACCGTTATTACATTTTTTTCTACTTGTATTTTGATTAGAAATGTTTGTTGGTGTCCAAGATGGAATACATTATTCCATTTCGTCGTTTCAATCTCGAAAATGTTCAAATATGCATGCCTAGTGACATACCTATCTTGCGCCATGTAATTTAATATGATCTCATATTTTCAGGGCGGCCATTGAGGAAAATTCAATACAAGTTAATATAATGCATGGGTTGACAACTAATGATTGAGTTCAGTCTTCATGGCCCATGGATTCGTATAAACGAATGCTAATTAAAACCCGGTGTCTTCGGCAGAAATATGATGTTTCCGTTTTGACACGAAATGAAAATTTAAAGGATTCAAGCATTGACTACATTTATGAATAACAAATTTGAAAACAATTCTTGTTTAATCTTTATTTTCATATATAGATATCTGTGTAGTAGTTAACATTTGAAACATGATATTCAGTCTGTGATAAAGGAAGGCCTTTACATTGAGTTCAGAGATTGTGACATGTCTATAGCTATCTTTTTAATGGTAGTTGTCGTGGGTTTCGTGCAGACAACAATAAACTGGTACAAACAGGTACACGACAGAAGCTGTAAACAACTTATTCATTTTTGTATCATGCATCCGTGAGTTCAATACGGTAGCCATGAAATCACTTGGAACTTATAACAGTGATAAATATTTGGTATTTAACATACAGTGCAATATTCTTAATATAGATATATAATGCCAACAAGTGTAACTCCGTCAGCATTACCTTTCCTGTAGATTTAGACTCTAGCTAAAACTAGCTTGCCCATTGACTATACTTTATCAAGCTATTTTCTTCATTTACTATGAAATACTTTTCGAAGTCAAAAGTACCGATGCGTGATGTCAATTGCATGTCAGTTGTTCCATTGGTCAAGAACATTATCCTTATGTCGAGTGCACTATCCATATATCAAGTAAACTATCCCCGACATCAAGTGTACTTTCCTCATGCGTAGTTTGTCATCCCACTATCACTGTCCCTTCTGTCGGTTATATATCCTCTTTGGAAGTGCAAAATCATGTCAATGCTACTATTCCGTCTTTGCGTATTGCAGAGTTATCTTCTCTTGTGAGCAGGTATTGATTGTTACGTCATTGGTTTGTGTGAGAAAATTACCACGTTTTCTCAAAAATTTGTGACGTTACTCTCACAAACCAATGACGTAACAATCAATACCTGCTCACAAGTCCAGATAACTCTGCAGTACGCAAAGACGGAATTCCCATTTCAAGTTTATTATTTCCATGTGAAGTATATTATTGCCATGTCAAGTTATATTAACAATCCTGAGGTCCGATTACTAGACCCGATTCAAGTGTACTACCCTCATGTCAATTTCCCCTCCCCTCAAAAACATGCTATTTCGATGGGTTTTTTTCAAGCCAAATATAAAGTATACCATCCTTAGTGCAAACTTTATCATCACTCGTTGTACCGTTCATGGTGTTAAGTGTACCATGTAACCATTCTTATATGTCATGTTAACAATGTCATGCCATGTATGTGCTGATTCTCGAAATGTCAAGTGTGTTTTCACTGTAACAATTACCGTCATTATGGCAACTGTACCGTATCTGTGTCATTTGTTTTATTTCGACATTAGGTATACCATATCCTTTGACAAATAGGTCATCCCTCACGTCAATGGTACCGCCCTTTATTATGAGCATCATACGGATGTGTAGTACTTTCATACCGATTGTACCACGGTAAATGTCCCGTAATGTAGCATATCCCCAACATCAGGTTTAGCATGCAGTTTGTGAAGTGTAGCAATCCTCTATGTCACTCGCCGTCCCCTATGTCAACTACCTTTATCTGTGTCAACACTCATAGCAAGCGTACTATCCCTTGTGTGAAGTACACCAACACTTATGTCAAATATAACAACCATTATTTCATTTGTACCATCCACATACCACGTGTACAGCTCGTTATGTCAAGTATTCACTCTTCTTTAGTGCATGTACCATCCTACATGTAGCATGTCATCCCTGTGTGAAGTGTTTCCTAATATCAAGTGTACCTTCGCTAATATCAAGTGTACCTTCGCTAATATCAAGTGTACCTTCGCTAATATCAAGTGTACCTTCGCTAATATCAAGTGTACCTTCGCTAATATCAAGTGTACCTTCGCTAATATCAAGTGTACCTTCGCTAATATCAAGTGTACCTTCGCTAATATCAAGTGTACCTTCGCTAATATCAAGTGTACCTTCGCTAATATCAAGTGTACCTTCGCTAATATCAAGTGTACCTTCGCTAATATCAAGTGTACCATTTCTAGTCAAGTGTTTTCCCCTATGTCAAGAGTACTATTCCTTGTCAAATTTTCTTTTTGATGTGTAAAACAATTTCGTTGAGGAACTGGATTCACGATTTATTCATTTCCTTAATGGTGTAGCATGATGTTGCAGCGATTTAACGTTGCAGCGATTTAACTATGCATCAAGACCACCTAGGTTTTTTCACAAATTTTCTTTATATTGAGATATTTCTTACACTTTCTGCAGTAGTTAAGTTTGAATATTTGACATTATTGTTGTTGTTTGTCTTTTTTCTTCTGAATGAGTATGGTTAACTACACTAACCGATTGTTACCCATGGTGTCTTTGACAGTATAGAGGTACAATTTTATGTTAACAAAGGACACTTGAAGTGTGAATCGGTGACTTGGAAGGACCTTAGGGAATAAGAAAGTGTGTAAAAGCTTCACTAAGGAGCAACATTGTAATAGTTAAATGTGCTCCCTGGAGGTATTAAAGGTATCGCACTGTCCAACTTAACGACTGTACTTTGTAAGTCTGTACATTAAATCCAAATAAAATGTCCACATTTCACAAAGACTTCACACATGGTTAACAGTATACAGACCCAATCTCCAATAACTAGGTTTGTATTTCACATGGATAGTGAAATGGATAGGTGGATCTCAACAAATAGGTTTGTATTGATCTTTATCCTTCACTACACTGAAAACTAACTTAATTTTACACTCGTCTTCACCTGGTATACAATGTACAGCAAATAGAAATACGGTAGTCAATTTTATTTATATTTCACCTACTGGAATGACAAGAAAGTTTGTGTTTGTAAATGATAGCGGACAAAAACATTCACTAGCATCACAGCTGAGCTTTTCAATGAAAACATAATGTAGGAATACAGCCACACCTGTATCTTATAATATAAATATAAGATAAGTAAGAAGTGATACCAAAAATATGTGTCAACAGTATATTTAGCTTTTAGTGTCTCAAATACTGCGTACAGTCTGTCCTGTTTAAACAAGTACGGGCGAGACATTTATAGATTCTATTGAAGTAGATGGAAATCACTGGAAGACGGTATACATTAAATACACGTTGTAGATGAAATAAATCGTAAATCGTCAGTCGGTTTGCATTATGGTTATCAGTAAATAAATCGGCCTAAGGCTAATTTATCAATAGATTTAACATGTCGATACTTCCGTGTTATAGGATAGTTGTCGTGAATTTGAATATATCGTGAATTTTATTTTGATTAAAACAGAAATAAAACCACAATCACGATAAAGATAGGTATTAAAGAAAATCAAGATATCTAGTATCGCAGTGTAGATATGCATTGACTACATACATGTTGGTAAATAACCCGTCAAACATACATCGCTGTATGGGCATTATGATACCGTGTAGGTGTTGTATATCTATATTTTTGTTGTGACATTGAATGGTTAGACATTTTCTGTACAATTTAATGTGAACTTCAATTTCGATGTCTAGTCCACTGTCACTCCTAATTTAAATTGGTTTCGTCTACGACTGTATATCAGTAGTGCTTATGGAATTTCTACATTCCATGTCAGTGTCCTTCATGGCAACCTGTTCACGTTGCACAGACATGCATTCCATCTCAGGTACTTATAATCTCTTAACTTGCCACAAAAGTCTTCCATTTCATTCCCACGTCCACGTCCTTTTTAACATTCAACACAATCTTCAATTCCGTCTCTTGTGGATTGGACATTAACATGCAGAAAAGTTTCTTGTATGTAATCTTGAGTATATTAAACCTCTGAACATCCAAGACTAGTACTCAATTCCATTCCTTACCATTTAAAACAATTTTGTTAATTCCGTCGCTGCTAAAGTAGACCTCAACTTTCAAATCGAATCTTTCATTCCATCTTGAGTGAATTGGACGTCTTAACATACAAAATGTGTCGTCTAGAATATTGGGATCCAATAACAAACACGAACTCTCCCATTCCATCCTGAGTAAACTTGACCCCTTAACATAAAAATATCCATTTCTACAGCAAATCTAGCATACATGTATAACAAAGTCGTCCATTCCCTCTCGAATGCAGTGGAATTTTTAACATGCAACTTCTTTTCCATATCCATGTCCACGCCTCCAATCTAATTCAAGTACATTAGATATTCCAACTTACGACCTCGATCTTCCAACCATGTCAATATCCAAGTCCTGTGACATAATACGAGTTTTCCTCCCCAATCTCAGTAAATGTGCCCCTTTAACTCGCTACATTACTATTTCATTTTATTTGCATGCAAAATATAGGTATGCCCGTTGCAGTTTTGTAAATTGACAATACCGAGATGGACCTTGAATACGAAGCTTATGACATCGTAAGAAAGACATAACAGTCATGACTATTCTAATGTAAGCAAATATCAACATGTACCAATTTGATGTTTTTGCCTTTCATATTCTAATTTTCATAGTTCATAATAATGCAGCATTAGTAAATACTGTTCTCATTTTCCATGAGAGGCATTCAATATACGATAATATCTATTATTCAGTATCGTTGGAAACCAAAGTGGAATCTGAGATAAATCAGAATGCAGTATGTCACTCTTTATGCCGATAATCGCTATA